TGTGAACACTTTGTAAATACATTAAAAAGAAGAACCAGTAGCGTTGAACGAGCTCTTGAATTGTCAAGCGTATTTCTTTTTCTCGGTGGTATGAATACAAAGCCTTTGGCAGATATGTGTTTGCATATTAAGGATATTGTAGATGCAGATAAAAGGTTTCAAATAGTAAGATTCAAAGGAGAACATAGACAGTATGAGAGAAAGCAGTACATTATCTTTGTTAAAAGTCTCAGTTTCATGATTACGCACTGCATTGCTGAAAGCTTGTATAGTCATTTCACTGACTTTACTGTAGTACTCAGAGACCTGTATATCGACAATGATTCTGTACAGACAGTTATAGAATGCTTTCCGTTCATAACGATTTCCGATCTGAAAAGCTTGCACATCAACTGTGATTGTAGCTTAACATCCACAATGAAAGGAATTTCACCTATCGTTGAAGAAACTAAAGACGTCGTCGAAATGTTACACATATCAAACCTAAGTTTTTTTGAAAAGATGTGTCACATGCGCATGCGTTCGTTGAAAAGTCTGGATTTGTGCAATCTTTCTCTGGCGCTATCCCAGATCGAACAATTACTTAAAGCTGCACCAAAGCTTGTACAAATATTCCTTTACAATTTCGAATCGGAAGGCGAAATGTTTGAACTTTTGTCGTGTGAGTATTCAACTATGTCGAATTGTGGTGCAAGGAAAATTAGTCGTGTGGTGTGTGTCAATCGTTCCGTAACATTGAAGGGTCAGGAAAAATATCCCGAATTAAGGGAATTAACGCTTGAACTTTTATCTAGAGACTTCATTAAAATGAAGAAAATTCTGTCGTCAAGGAAATGCCGTTGCAAAAATGATAAGCATTGTGTGTAGTATACAATGCTTTGACTATCCAGTATGAGGCATGATATGTAAGACGTCAAGATTCTTGCTATCATCGTCATCACGTATATATGTAAAGACGTTAAGCATAAATGAACGCTCAAGTTATGATTATGTTATTAGCACTTTTCATAGTTAATTGTTATTAGATTAATCTACACAATAATACAAAGCTAAAGAACATTTCAGATTAAATAAGGTCCATGATTGCATGTTTGTAGTGTTGCATATTGTGATATTCAAGATACTTTCTCAAAAAAATTAAAATGTTGACGTGTATATTTCTGAGATAGAATTTGAATGTTTTTATTGCTCATTTATTGACATATATTGATAAAACATTTTGAAGAAGAAATAGTTATGGTATCTTTAATATGTGTATGTAAATTTATGAATATGACAGTTCTTATTTTATATAAAGTTTCTATATTATTTGTTTTGGGCAAAAGGGGGTCTCCTTTCAATTGTCAGGTCAAAGACCAAGTATTTCAAGGAGGTTTTATATGATTATATCTTTAATATGTGTATGTAAATTTATGAATATGACAGTTCTTATTTTATATAAATTTTCTATATTATTTGTTTTGGGCAAAAGGGGGTCTCGATCCTTTCTATTGTCAGGTCAAAGACCCAGTATTTCAAGGAGGTTTTATATGATTATATCTTTAATATGTGTATGTAAATTTATGAATATGACAGTTCTTATTTTATATAAATTTTCTATATTATTTGTTTTGGGCAAAAGTGGGTCTCGATCCTTTCTATTGTCAGGTCAAAGACCCAGTATTTCAAGGAGGTTTTATATGATTATAAAGACACTATTACTTATACACGCGTTTGTTTAAAACGTAAATCGTTTAAATGATTGACAGTTGTCAACAATGAATAAATTACTCGCTCGTCAGTCCGAATGAATGTCGGCTATCAACTATATATACCTAATTGGCGATTTAAATCAATTTAAAGTTTTAATCCAGACCACGTGCTTATTTTTAAATGCTAGTGAGAGATACGGCTGACATATTCGGATACAAAGATCCGCCGATTGAAATCATATCAAGAATTGGACTGAATTCAATGTTTTCAATATTTGTTCCTTTTATATTTTTATAATTGACAAAATCATTGTTGTTTTTTATCATTGTGAAGTCTTTCTATTTTCTTTCGACGAGATAATCATGTGCAGTGGTGAATGTACCACATTGTTCATTGATGTACACTAGCTGTTATATTTAGATAGTTAATTGCACTTTGGATAGTTAATTGCATTAACTTCTCTAACTCGTATACATGTATTAGACATGTTGTCAAATCTTGCATATATATGTGTATATAAATACATCAATTCAAGATGTGTACATAGAAATACAAATATGTATACGAAATGATATAAAGAATAATCTTTTACATTATCATTGTTGTTATACATATAATGCATAATTGTAAGTTGCTTAATGTAAAGTTTAATAAAAAAAAATCATTTAAAACTGTGTTAATTTCTGTCCTGATAATTGAGCCGCGTCATGACAAAACCAACATAATGGGTTTGCGAATTGCGACCAGCATGGATCCAGACCAGCCTGCGCAGTCTGATCAGGATCCATGCTGTTCGCTATCAGTTTCTCGAGCTACTTGTAATAGACTTGGTAAGCGAACAGCATGGACCCTGATCAGACTGCGCGGATGCGCAGGCTGGTCTGGATCCATGCTGGTCGCAAACGCACTATGTTGGTTTTGTCGTGACGCGGCTCATGTATTTTATTTGTTAAATCGTTAGAGTCTGTTTAATTATGTCAGCTCGTATAAGCATCGGACTAGTAATCCAGGGGCCACTTGTTAGTTCTTCTGGCCGAGGCAATTTATACATGACAATTAATCTCCGATATAGAGTTTAATGAACATTTGTCTCGCCGCTTTAAAAATTACGTGGGATTAATAACATTTAAAGCTACATTGTACATTATTTACATTAAATAAATATGTAAAAATATTTTTGCCATCGGCCTAAAAACCAAGCATTCTACAGTTTCATTAACCTTTTTAACAGTACGTATTGTTATAAATCTCATCAAATACTGTTCATAAATTAAGATTTTAAAAAGAAAACCCCACGGTAACACTAAAGTTCGTATACGAATTTTAACATGCAAATGAAGACTATAACAGCTCGTGTATGCGCTACGTCACGGTGTTATATTTGCTATCCGGAACACAGCAAATATAAGATTTTTTTGTGCAAAAACAATTTAACCGTTAAAGCATCACGGTGCACTTGGCCTGGGGTTCAGAAAAAATAATCATCTCATAAAAAAGATTTAATTTGTATGGAAATATCCGTTACAATGCGGAAATATACCGTTAGATTAGGACTGCTACTTATAGTCATGTTTGTTGATTTAATATTGATGTACGGATGATCTGAAGGCGGAGTTTCACATGCAAACAAAAATTGTATTTCCCATTTCGCCACAATGAGGTTGCACATTTGTATGCTCATAAAACTCATTTTGGTTGTCTGGACACTAGAATAAAACCTGGAGTCGATATGAAAACCAATTTATTAATGAAATGTCGCTATTTCTGTTTTTATGAAATTTATTCAATGTAACTTTAAAAGAAAGAAAAAGAAAAAAAACGCACAAAAAATCTTATTAATTAATGCGACATTTGTCTGTCCTGTTTGATAATGTTTAAAGCTACTCTCGCAAACAAAACGTTATAAAAACATCAACATATTTGTTTACAGTCATTAAATATGCATAGAAGTAAAATTTGCAGTTTTCACGAGATAACTGTGACCCTACGGTTGTTATGTTTCACTTGACACTGATATAAATCATACCCGTGAAAATGTTGCGAAAGTCAAAATAAAATAATACAAAATAAAATTTTACAACGGCTTAAAATGACAGAATCATAAACATAGCAAAAACTGTACTTTTATGGGTTTTTTTTTTCTTGTATTTATCATCTGGTTCAATATAAATGCACGTGTTTGAGGTGAAGTGTTATCTTTTGATGACATTTTATTTCAAAGTACAGCAACATTTCAAATATTTCTTTCTTTAATTTTGAAGTGATATTATAAATTTCAATAATATTTGTAACTTTCGTATTTGGAAATTGAAACCACTTAAATGTTCTAAATTCAAAACTTTTGTAAAGTCAATCAGATTAAACGTTTATATCTACACTAATTAGTTATTTCCCTTCCTTATATCCTTGAGAAGTGAACAGGAAGTATAGAAATGTCATTAACAGTTTTTGTTTACACAGTGAATGATATATTATCTTAAACTATGATCTGGTTATTTTAAATACATGTAGATCGATAAGCGTGCTTGGGTTTTCTTTCTTGTCTTAAAACCTCTTACATTTTGACTTTTGATGAACATTATAAACATGTACAGGCGCGGATACTAGACTGAGTTGCACAATTTTGATAACGGGTTTGCATATTCAAAAGGTGGTTGACATTTACTAATTTTCAAGAGGGGGCAAAAGACCAGATTTGGGTTATTTCACTACTCTCTAAATTATTTTTTCAAATAAAAACCACAAACAAACTAAGTTGATATCCAAACTCCAGAGTAATTCTACATACAACGCAAAAACAGTAGAGGAGCCATGTCCCGACACCCCCGTCTTGATCCGTGCATGACGTCAATGTTTTATGTGGAAATAGTAACTTATACCATTACCAAGTTTTATGTGGTAGTGTACATGTAGTTCAGAGAAAATAGCAGACAAAGTTTGATCGAGTCTGTTCATGAAATATGATGAGTTTAAACTTTGACAAAAATAACAGTTTTTTTTTCAAAGTCATGAGATTTTATTCATAAACAAGTGGCACCGAATAATTCTTCATCAATTGCTTAACATAAGTTGGCGGGTGCAATTGATTATATTTTCTGAAAATCAATTCGACATTGATCTGATAACAGAAAAGTCTGAGTTTTAGGAATGGACCATCAGGCCTATTAATCACGAAATCAGTGTATACAAGTAGAGATTTTGATGCTAAAGCATCAAGTCGCCGGATAGAAAATGATTGTATCATCATAAATATAAAAGAATATCAGTTTAATTAATGGTTCAGGTATAAAGAAAAGAGGAACAATATGTTGAGTAACTGTTTATTCACAATAAAACATCATACATGTATATGAAGCAAACTTGCTTAGCAATATTGTCAAGGAACTGCTATGATTATTAAATAAGCAAGTATTTCGTTAGTTTACGTAACTTATTATGATTTGTGCTAAAGATTTTATTGATAGTATAGATATTAAATCAATTAATATTGCTTGATGGCCTACAGGTGGTAAGTAGGACGAAGTTGTGCCCTAGTAGGCCAAGTTCGAATCTTTGAAAATCCCTTTTGCAGTTTTCATAAAACTATTTTTTTATTATTTCTTTTAACTATATGAAACATAAGTTGATAAATTGTGTTTCATTTCTAGCATTTTTTTTTTATTTCAATTTTTTTTATTTTAATTTTGATTAATTTTGTAAGGCGAGTGATATTCTTGTAATTCTACTTGTAATTCTACCTTATACATATACCGATATACCAGACATCGAAATCCGTTTTGTATACTTCAGAATCGAATATTTGAAAATATATATGTTTTAATTATTGCATGAAACAATGCAATTCTACCGTAAAAGTGGTATCTGCATAAAAAATATTTTTTTTTGCACTATCGAAAAAATAAATTATTTAGTTGAAATCAATATTCCTGTCGTTACATACGATATAGTAAACGTTTAATTGCCTTTCAGTTCGATAAAATATTAACAAAAAGATATTTTATTAGTTTTCTTTATTATGTATCTAATACGATCCGTCATACCGTTTTGGTAACCTGCGCGACGGAAATTGACGGAATATAACGTAGACGACGATTACCACTATTTATTTCAATAAATGTGCCTCTTTAGCATAAATATATTTTGTGATGTTCAACCTAAACTAAACTATTGAACGTTGACAGAAAGGGCCAAGTTTAACCCTTTACCAAGAAAAAATGAAAAGGTTTTGAAAATTTATTTAATTCTTTAATGTGCAAATTATGAGTATACAGACCTTTCTAATGATATAAAAATGAAACTGATTAATGAAAGATAACTTTGTAATTATTTATACATTTGCATCTAATTAGCCGCCATACCGTTTTCCAACTAGTATGTCTTATCAGCAATCTGTTACTATTAATAGATTCTATAACACAAACATTACAACGGGTAGTCACGTGATTCTTACAATAGAACAGGGAGAATCTGTTTATAATAAGATAAAATAATGAAATATAATAGGTCTCATAAGATATAAACAACCAAATAATTTAAATGTGTCATTTCAAATATCATTCGTGATTTATCAATCATAAAATAGCAACGCTTGACACTTAGAAAAAAAGTAAAAGTATCCCTAACTTCAATGACTGGTCCATAGGGATACGTTATTAATTCATTTTATGAAAATTGTAATGTTGCTTTTTAAGATGTCAACATTTGTATATTTCATATCAATTAGCAATGTTACTTTATTTTTGAATTTTTAAGATTATGAAAAATAATTGTGATCCTTAATTGTTCAGTAATTGATTTGTTTTTATATTCAGATTTTAAGGCCTTCTCCTACCATAGATATAATATTAAACTGTTACAAATATAGTCGCCGGTTTCTACCGGCGACTAATAAATACATAATTACAAAGATCGAGATGTATCGTAATTATGTTTGGCGTGTGTATGTTATAATTACGGATCAAATATGTTACGGTTACCTGCAAGAATAACATCTCACCGCTTTCCTAATGTATCAGGTAATCCGGACGAATGTATACCTCCAACAACTCAGACCATCTCGGCAATCAACAAGGGGATCAAATGGCTCCCTCTGGGAGACCGACTGAATATTTACCCTATTGTTTAATGTTTTTTCTAAATACTTGGTTTTCAAGTGCATTTAATGATCAACATTATTTTTTGTACAATCACATTGCAGTATTTTTCAAATTTCTGCTTAGGTAATGTGTACTAACTAAACAAAATTTACTTAATCAGTCGTCTAACCAGAGAAATGCTTTGTTTTTGGTTGAAAAATAATGTTGATCATTAAATAGGTTAATGTTTAATAATACGCATTAAAAATAATTTGTCGCGTGCCTGCGGCAAGCTTGATCAATTTATTTTTGTTAATACTTAATTATCTGTTCTTTTTTGTACATTAGATACACAGGAAAATAGCATTTTTATTAAAATATCAATGCCTGAAATAAATATATAAAATGTGTCAAATTTCCACCTTAGTTTACGATTTGGAAGGACTTCATCAAACTTTAACTTGACAGTATTCTATAACATATTTTGCGTTGCTGTTATTGTGAACGGTTCTTTTTTAATTCCACCTTATTATCATAGTTTTCCCATTTAGCAAGCAACTTAAGCTAATAAGCGAAACATGATATGTATGTTTAGCGTTCATGTGAAAGGCATGATTTCAGATGAATGATAAAAAACAGACTGTAATGACTGTCTGTAAGGTCTGGCAATTATCTTGTTTACTTTAATTATATCCCGGTCTGTGACAAGATAGTTAAATAATTATTGGACTAGACCCAAAATGTATAGCCTTTTAAATGCTTAAAGTTAATCAATAAAACGTTACATGCCAAATAAGAAATCTTTTATCAGATCTTATTTTCATATACTGGTAACCAGCATACTTTGAATCAAATTTACAACTTTATTCCAGGTGAAAATGTGAACAAGAAAGTCTGTGTTTGCAGAAAGTCCATACAATCATATATAATGAATCACAGATGTGCAAGGACACAGATATTGATATAGTAATACAAGCTATATAAATAATTTATTGCTATTTGCACAAGATAACGCGTATACATGTTCAAGCAGCACGACTTCAGATGTTATTCAAATATTTGCCACGTTTACACATAAAACAGTGTTAGTTGTTATAATTTTTTTTTCTAATTACAACGTCATATTGAGAGTTAGTTCATTGTACCTTGCTTGTATTTGTATTCCAACGATAACAAAACTTACAAGGGTGAAAATTGAAAGCCTGGGTTCGTTGCATTTCCATGTTTCTTGTTAAATTTTAAATTATTGATCGAGTGTAGCGTAATTTCCAAATGAATGTGCTCATTTACAACAAAACTATTAAGCAACATTACTTGGAAAATCTATTCTTATCATCAAATGCTGTTTGTAGAACTGACTATTTGAAGACATTTCACAACTTCTGTCAAGTTTGTCTAGATTTATATGAAACTTTCAAAGGCAATTGAGCCGCGTCATGACAAAACCAACGTAATGCGTTTGCGACCAGCATGGATCCAGACCAGCCTGCGCATCCGCGCAGTCTGATCAGGATACATGCTGTTCGCAAGCAGTTTCTTTACTTGTTATAGGGTCTGTAAGCGAACAGCATGGATCCTGAATAGACTGCGCGGATGCGCAGGCTGGTCTGGATCCATGCTGGTCGCAAACCCATTATGTTGGTTTTGTCATGACGCGGCTCAATTTTTCAATAAATGAAAAATGAATATCAATATAGGCCAAAAACCTATGTTACAATGCTACATATCTTCACTAGATACCACGTTCAAATGAAGTAAAAAAACTCATTAAATATTTATTCAACTTAGGAAATTGATAGTGTTTTTCATGAACGAAACAAAATGAAGATTTAAGAATAGAGACATTCGAATTCATATAAACTCATCGCAATACATATATTCAATATTGAAATATTGTAACTGAACTACAATTTTTAAATACTATGTTATAAGTTTATATGTAAGAACTAGATGTGCAAATTTCGTATTCGATTTTGAAATAAATCTGTTGCAAACAAATATAAATGGATATCAAGTTCTACTAATTTTAATAATTTTAAAAACTGGTCTTCTGTCAAACGGATTTCGGCGCTTTTGCTTCGTACGTCACTTTTGCGTACTTTCTTAAATCCCATCTGAAATACCGATGAAAACAATGCATCAGACCATTCCCTGTTTTCCATTATTCCAAAGTATTCCATTTGTTGTAAGTTATGTTTCGCCGATTCTAACCACAGATAAGCTCTTTTGCGCATTACATTTCTGTTAATATAGTCAACATAGCAGTCGGCTACTGTAAGGTCTGCCAACATCCGGGTCATTCTATTCGTGGCTAAATTATACTTGCAGTCTATAAACTCATCTATACCTACACCTTGCCATGTTTCTGAGAGAAAGCAAGGCCTGACGTCCAACCATTCAGCCATACCGTTACTACAACCTAATAGAGCGTCTTGCCAGTGACCTCCATAAAAGCTTTGATGATAGTACTCACTCATATATCGAGCAATAGGGTCTCGAAGTTGAGTAAAGTAGAAATATCTGAAAATACAATGATTCATACAAATGATACAAATACAATCAAACAGTGAATATATGTCGATACATTTATTCGATTTGTATTCTTCATACAGTGTTTCTGTTTCTGCAAGTTCCTAATGGAAATAATGTACATCCTATACTGACATCATATACTTGTAATCTATAGCTTTTGTAATTCTCTAAATTTGGTGTGCAACAACTTTGTCTACGAATAAAATGAAATGTTAAAATAATGAAAACCCTCAATAATGCTTCAATGAGAAATAACTTATCTACGCGTAGATGCATAACATGCATGATTTTCTTTTTACAAGTAAAAATCTAAAGCGCCATTCGTATTTCGCTCATGTCATTACGCTATATTTGATTATAAATGTTTCTAAATGAAATATATATGTTTTTGGTTGGGTTTTACGTCGCATCAACACAGTAAAGAATATATGGCGACCAGGACCTCAAAACGACGTGCCTTCTTAGCATTTTTTTTCAGGCACAAACGGGCACCCGAGTAGAACCACCGGCGTTCCGCAAGCTAGATGGATAGCTTTCTTACATGAAAGAATCCAAAGTCCCTGTCAGGATTCGAACTAACAGCGGTGACGGGCATGCAATTGGTCTGAAGTCAACAACCTTAACCACCCGGCAACGGACGCTCCTTAATTCAGGTCACATTGACACAATGTTCGTTATGAAGCCAAAAGCCAAAGTCATATCAATATCGTTTGGTCCTCTCTTCTATTATTTTAGCGAATAATAGGCATCTTTATAGGACGGGGTTTTCCCGCAAGGTAGCTGAATATTAAACATCTATATTCACATTCTCAATTCTGAGATTAAAAAATAGTCAGAGGTGTGGGGCCAATGAGCGGACAAATAACGTTATAAGTGATTTTTACATGCAGAAGCTACTCGGCTTATCTATCGAATGTTGATGAATTTACTCGATGCAATAGGTTTTACCCGTTTGTAAAGCTTGTTAGTCGATAGCCTGGATGACATAAAACACAATAATGTGTAAATGAAAGTAGTCAGTCATAAGGATGTCAGAATATGATCTCATTAGCTGTCAAATCATTATAACATTATACATATGGTAGATTGAAACAGAATCAACTCAGTTTTACTTGCCTTCTATATCGCCTTTTTTGCTCCATCTGATCTATTTGATTAGAATACATCTGTGAAGTTGGGTCCAGTCAGCGTGCAGACCGCAAGGCCAGCCGGATAATTTAGATGTATATATCCATATATTACCCTTTGGGTTAAAACAAGGGCAAGTTGGCTGTTTTAAATACACACTTACACTTAAAAGGATACGATAATTCTCGTATTAACCTATCATTGAAATGCATACCTCCAGTTTTCTGAATATGCAAAAATACCATGACGTCAGTATTGATGTCATAATTATGCTGTATTGATACATTTTTAAACTCAGATTTAAAGCTATATGACTTTCCTGTGAAATATCGTCTTAACACATGGTATGACTTAGAATGCAAATAAGACTGCGTAAGAATTTTTGATAAAAAGAAATTGTCGGTTTGAGCTTTTTGTTTAAATTCTGCAAACGTGTAAACTTTAGGTCTATGTTTTGTCGTTTTGTATAGTTTTCGACGTTTTCTGCATCTTTTTATGTGAATGTAGATCTTCAGCTAGTTTCACTTCATGGTCAGTTTCATTCGAATCATGCGGCTCCGTTATTGGGCAATTTGTTTGAACAGTTTACTGCATAATATATAACAGCAGGGGGTTCCTTGATATGCATCGTATGCTTTTCATTGCATAAATCATTAGATTTTTTGTCGACAATTGTTTGAATGTACAATACTGATACTGAAAATGCTACAAAACAAAACAGTAACTTAGAATATGGTATCCGTCTTTTTATTCCCATTGTGAGTTTTGATCATCCCTTAATTCATTGACTACTACTGTAAGATAAATTGTCTGCCCATAACGTCACACTATAAACGCTCACATGTTACGTCTGCAATAATCGTTCACCACTTCGATGTTTGGCTTCATATATCACAAATTTCTCTTCCATTATTGACTGAAAATAAATTCATAGCTGATTAGTAAAAGATATGCTTTATCTTCATGGGTAAGTTACGTGTGATATTGATCGTACTTAAATCGATTTTAGCGTGTAAAACTTAAGTCAGTTAAAATCAATTGTTCCCATCATCACGTTTACCTGTTTAATTTAGATATCTCTTAAAGCAACACGCATCCATCTCCATGTATTTTTTACGAAAATTAAGACTGATCAAAATACTAAAATGACAGTGAAAAAAATCAAATAATTAACTTATACAGGTCATCGAAATACATGTTGATATATATGTCAGTATAACCCTTACGTTATAGAATTAGTTAGAATTATGGTGTTTAAAATAATAAATTCAGTTCATTGCTGCATGTAACATATACGGTTAAGCATATCGATGCACTTGTATTTATGATATTAAAGTTTCATTTTTTCATAATGTTTATGTAAGGCGTGTAGCTTTAAACAGTTAAATCGATTTCTTCACATTTTTCACACAAATTACTTAATAGATTAATGTAGGAAATGTTAGTCGTTACTCGGCTGACTTGTACCAGTTAATGTATTGCAAACCTTATCACGTTACTAATGTAACAATTGGTGTAATCTGATAATATTTATCGGAACGTTTTCGACAACTTATCCGAAGACTGACGGAAAGGGCCGAAAAGTTGCGATTGGTTTCGTTTTTTGTTGATAAAATAATGCAATTAATGTTTCTAACCTTTGCTGCTCATTTTCTGTAAATGCATTGCCGGTTTACTAGAGAGAAAAAAAACAACAGTGAATGATTCGAAACAGGTCCTGCCACTGATAGTACTTAAATTATCTGAACGTGTGTAACATTAATACGAATTGACGTTTAAAACAGCCTTGTTTGTTTTGCATTTTTACAATACTGTATATCAATTTATCATAATCTTTTTTCCGGCGGTCAGTAAACCTGTACAGTATATGTTCTATACTCCGCTAACAGTGGACTACTTTTCTCTTTAATCAAATAAAATGAAGAAAGATATAGAAAAATCTAGTGTACTCACATCACAAATTCGAGGTGCTTCAATACACATACACATAGGGTATCATCTTGAATTCGTTATTGAGTATAAATTATGGATGTACATTTTGTATTAAATATCAATACAAACGAAGTAAATATTAGATCTACTGTATTGAAATCAATATAAACTGAAATTACACATCCTATTTTTAGCTAAAAAATAAACTTCCTGAATTAAAGCACATATTTACCATTCATACAATTATCCCTGCATTTTTACATCCGAAACACTCAATTATTGTTGATATGCTACACAGTTTAATCAACATGTATCTCGCATAACATGTCTAGCTATCGGACTTACACACACTGTACTGCACTATGCTACCTCTCGCTATATTTACACAGTCGCTGGTATCAAATATCTTCTTTTCAAAACCTTTTTTGTTGTTGAAGTAAGCTGAACGGTGTAATTTATCAACATTGTATAAATACTGGTTGAACGGACAATTACAGTTTGTAGTGTGTTAATAAAGACTGGTTTATTGTGTTTTAATTAGGACGTTTTCGGGAGTTTTCATATAAACATATACAATTTAGGCAAATAAAACTGTTCAAACTTGTGTTAGAATATGATAACATTGGGGTCACGGTGACCGTTCTCGTTTTTGAGTTATCTGCCCCTGATTCAGACTTTTCTAATTATTTGAGGTAATTTCAAGGGCAGATAACTTAAATACATAAATAAATTCTTGTTTTTACTTCTGGATTATGTTTTCCTTTTTATTGTTGAGTACAATACATGATAACATTCCTTACATCGTTTCTGTTAATTTCTTTCAATGAAAATATTTTAAGGTACTTTAAATTCTTAAAAAATATGCCATTTTTTAAGAACAAATGCATAGGTTTTAAGAAGAAGTGGGAATAAAAACTACCCACTCTAAATTTGTTCTTGAAATTTTGCATGTAAACTTAAACGAAGGTAAGCTTCATGAAAATAAGAAAACAAAATTGTATTGTTTCCCTTCTTTGTAAATTATCTGCGCTTGAATTTTATAAAAAAAAGTCCAATTCAAGGGCAGATAACTCAAAAACGAGAACGGTGACTCCGATTCTTTTTCGCATTAAACGTTTCTGTTATCATATTTTAACAACATGCCAAGTTTAAACAGTTTTAATTTTGCCTATATATATGTCTATATGAAAACTCCCGAAAACGTCTTTAACTTCCATGTGAAACTGATAGCTTTCTATGTGAATTTTAAACTCAATAAGTGTTGTATAATAAATTCATAAATATCATAATAAATAGGGCATAAAAAGCAACGATGATTTAATTCGAGGTTAACTTACACATTCGACTTTATATCTGGTAGACAGTATGTTGCACAAAACCAGACAACCTTTTTACAATATGCACTATTTCATATTAGATCTACATATAAAACTTATAGTAAACACCATGTCACCTTATAATAAACATTATGTCACCTTATAATTAATACTATGTCACCATATAATAAGCAATATTTCATCTTATAATAAGCACCATGTCACCTGATAATAAGCACCATGTCACCTGATAATAAGCACCATGTCACCTGATAATAAGCACCATGTCACCGTATAATAAGCACAATATCATCTTAAAATTAGCACCATGTCACCTTATAATAAGCACCATGTCACCTTATGATAAGCACCATGTCACCTTATGATAAGCACCATGTCACCTTATAATAAGCACCATGTCACCTTATAATAAGCACCATATGTCACCTTATAATAAGCACCATGTCACCTTATAAGCACCATGGCACCTTATAATAAGCACAATGTCACCTTATAATAAGCACCATTCATCTTATAATGAGCACCATGTCACCTTATAATAAGCACCATGTCACCTTATAATAAGAACCATGTCACCTAATGATAAGCACCATGTCACCTTATAATCAACACTATGTCACCTAATGATAAGCACCATGTCACCTTATAATCAACACCATGTCAGTGCACCTTATAATAAGCACCATGTCACCTTATAATCAACACTATGTCACCTTATAATAAGCACCATGTCACCATATAATAAGCACCATGTCACCTTATAATCAACACTATGTCACCTTATAATAAGCACCATGTCACCTTATAATAAGCACCATGTCATCTTATACTCAACACTATGTCATCTTATAATAAGCACCATGTCACCTTATGATAAGCACCATGTCACCTTATAATAAGCACCATGTCACCTTATAATAAGCACCATGTCACCTTATACTCAACACTATGTCATCTTATAATAAGCACCATGTCACCTTATGATAAGCACCATGTCACCTTATAATAAGCACCATGTCACCTTATAATAAGCACCATGTCACCTTATAATAAGCACCATGTCACCTTATAATAAGAACCATGTCACCTAATGATAAGCACCATGTCACCTTATAATCAACACTATGTCACCTTATAATAAGCACCATGTCACCTTATAATAAACACCATGTCACCTTATAATAAGCACCATGTCACCTTATAATAAGCACCATGTCACCTTATGATAAGCACCATGTCACCTTATAATCAACACTATGTCACCTTATGTCACCTTATAATAAGAACCATGTCACCTAATGATAAGCACCATGTCACCTTATAATCAACACTATGTCACCTTATAATAAGCACTATGTCACCTTATGATAAGCACCATGTCACCTTATAATAAGCACCATGTCACCTTATAATAAGCACCATGTCACCTTATAATAAGCACCATGTCACCTTATAATAAGCACCATGTCACCTTATAATAAGCACCATGTCACCTTATAATAAGCACTATGTCACCTTATATAAGAACCATGTCACCTAATGATAAGCACCATGTCACCTTATAATCAACACTATGTCACCTTATAATAAGCACTATTGTCACCTTATAATAAGCACCATGTCACCTTATAATAAGCACCATGTCACCTTATAATAAGCACCATGTCACCTTATAATAAGCACTATGTCACCTTATAATAAGAACCATGTCACCTAATGATAAACACCATGTCACCTTATAATCAACACTATGTCACCTTATAATAAGCACTATGTCACCTTATGATAAGCACCATGTCACCTTATAATAAGCACCATGTCACCTTATAATAAGCACCATGTCACCTTATAATAAGCACCATGTCACCTTATAATAAGCACCATGTCACCTTATAATAAGCACCATGTCACCTTATAATAAGAACCATGTCACCTTATAATCAACACTATGTCACCTTATAATAAGCACCATGTCACCATATAATAAGCACCATGTCACCTTATAATAAGCACCATGTCACCTTATAATCAACACCATTTCACCTTATTATAAGCACCATGTCACCTTATGATAAGCACCATGTCACCTTATATATATATTAAATGTCACCATTTATAATAAGCACAATGCCGCCTGATAATAAGCACTACATCATCTATAATAAACGCTATTTTATAATTTGCACTATGTAAATTGTAACCTTATGTTATAAGCACTATGTCATGTTATAGATAGCACAATGAACAACTTAATAAGTTAACATTATACAACCTTATTATTTGCACTATATATTATTTGAACTATATTTTATGTTATAATAAGTAATTTGTGTCATCTTATAATAAGCACAATATATTACCTTATATAATATGCACTATTCTTCTAAACTCGAAAATCCTATCAAACGGGTAAATATTTGAAGCGATATATAACACAGTCACAAAAAAAAATGTTTAAACAAGTCTTAAAGTTTATTTAGTAGTAATAGGTTAAACGTACCGAAAAGATCGGCATATTGTGTAATACTTGTAATTAATTAGCATGACTAGTCGATATATAAATAACTACTATTCATTGTCGATATGTCATCCCCTTAAACGGCTGAATTCTCTGGTCGTAGAACGTTTAGAAAACAACAACATACCTAGCTATACATGTGTGTAGAATAGTTCATTTCCTGCGGTACATGATGTGATATATATATATACATGTATACATGTACAGGATCTATCTTTCATTATACAAGTACATGTAGTAATTAACATGACTATAACTGTAACTTTCACTTTCCATAGAACAAATTAGTCATATTACACAGAAAACAAGTCATACGTGATAAAAAGTTATTTTAGGTAAAATATAATGAATCATGGTTGAAACATGATATCTTTACTTTTTATGAAGAATTACCATGAATTCATACATGTTTATCAGTTACGAACAAAGGTTGTTTACATGTCGTGTCATTTAGGGTATTAAAGGGACTCCACTGAGTTTTTTTGACATGGTGGGACTGAAAATATTTTTTCCAGATAAATGTACCATTTGATGTAGGTTTAGACCAATAATCTTTGTGCAAAATTTCAGATCATTCGCGCACCTCGTTTTTCCAGAATAGTTATTCAAATTGTAATAAAAAAGACCCAAAATTTAAACGCTTTTCACTCAAATTAGGCTAAGATCGAAGATTTTCAATTTATTTCAAAGTATATTTCTTAACTATCTTTGCATATATTTCTGTTTAAAGTGTCCCAGTTCATTTATGTAAGAAAATCAAATGTTATGTTTTAAGGCTTTTAAACCTCAGTGGAGTCCCTTTAAGAATTCTAGCTTAGACAGTCGAAGGATTGAATAACTACGTGAACGTCAATTTTGAAAACGAATCCTATACAATATTTGTCAAATTTCATAACAAACGCAAATGTTTATGTACATTATATTTACGACTGGTGACATTTTCATTCATTTCTACAGTATAATCAACTTCGTCACTTCCAGTAACCACGATAGTAGGCACTTGATGGCAAAAAGTTTTTTTTATCGACTACCCATTGTGACCGACTACCCGCCGTGATTTTTATAATTTTTTTATCTATAACAATTCATTAAAATCTACCGACAAAACGTCTTTTTTAAAAATAGATATATCTGCTGCGTTAATAAAGTAGTAATTTATATACACAGTAGATATATCTATTTTTAAAAAAGACGTTTTGTCGGTAGATTTTTAATGAATTGATATAATTATGTGTGTGTTATAGATAAAAAAAAATATAAAAATCACGGCGGGTAGTCGGTCACAATGGGTAGTCGTGCCTATGACCACGATGACAAACATTAAATAATTCTAAATGCTTGTTATATAAATATAAAACTGTGAAACGTTTTATATAAACACATAAAATACAGTTTCTGTTATTTCTGGACATTCGCCATACTATCAAAAAAGATCTATTAAGCTTGTCAAATAGTAGCAATGAAATCATTTTTCAAATCGAGCCAACAATTTATTTGTGATCATAACAAATGTTCAAATAAAGACTGGACTATGCATATGACAGATCATTGTGTTAAATATTATTGATACATGTAGTAATTAAGTTACTTCAAAATGGCTTTCAGTGTATCATACTATTGTCTGTCAACTTGTAATATTAAACATATGTATAGTGGACAGATTGAGGACCTAAAATGGCGGACAGTACCTCATGGGAAGACCATTGTCCTTCCAACGATAATTAAAGAAATTCCTGGACCTTCGAAGGAATACAGTTTGTATCTTAATAATCGATACCTAGAGTACAGCCGAAAGTATAAAGGCAAAGTTCCGCGCGCCCCTGCATTCCGGCGATTTTCCCGCCAAAAAGTGGATAAAGTAGTCCGAAGATTGTCCGTCGTCAGTGCTAAGTCCTCTCCATAATTTCATCAAATTATTATCTTGGATTAACAAAATAAGAAATACAGGTGAAGATAAAATAATTCTTTGTCTTAAAGTGTCATTCCAATAATTATGCGTGCTGTTTTACGATAGACAAGGGACATTTCTGATTTCTTCTGGACTGTCGGAGACCCATACACATGTATGCAAGCAGACAGTGGAAAAAGAACTTTTTAAAGGAAGGACATGAAGAAGAAAAAAAACAGAAAAACATGTGTATCAATTAATCAGATTTTCATGCATTATTGTCTGTTCCCTTTTACTTTTTTTCAGCTGAACTTTTATAAAAGACTAAGAATTTCAAACTTTAAAAAACTTTATCTGAAACCCATATCAATTGCATTAATATTCTTTAAACTGTAATAAGGTCAACATGGACAGTTATAATACATGTAATATATTTGTTGTTTACTATAACTTTCGGGATGATTAAAGGCATAACTTTACTGGTTATGAGTGATTTTCAACTCTTAGTATTCTATTATTATTGTTAATTTTATGAATTGTATTAAAATTATGTAACATTTTTTTACCTTTGTTTGAATGTTGTTCTTTCAAAAGTGTACTATGATTTACCATATTCCAAAAGATAAAGATTAAAAAACAACCACAAACAATGGATAAATAACTTTCTAAAACAAAGAATACTCAATAATCATACTCAGCATACCAATTTACATGTACATGTCGATGATTTATGTAGTCTAGTGATTGTGTAACTTGAACGTGACGATGTATTTTATAATATGAAATTATACTGTGCTATTTTGTAATCTGCGTGGGACAGAAACCGGTGCAAATAGCGGTCAGGGTAATATTTTTTCATATATGTAGCTTTAAAGATATTTTATTATTTTTAATGGGATAGTGCAGAGACATAGATAATTATGTATGTCTATGGATAGTGTGAAGAACCCTCTCATTATATAGTAAGTAACCGGTGATATATTCTACTGAAAGTGAAACCGCGTGTTTGAACTATAAGATATTCACAAGATTTCACTTTACGATAAAAAAAATTCCAGGAAACATTTTATTTGCAAGTCTAATAAATTAATAAAGGGAAAATAAAGTTAAAGTTTGCGACAACATTAAATCATCGGTTAGAATGTGGATCATTAATATATGCAACCTCATTTGTGTTATTCGATTAACTGAAACATTATTGGAACTATTCCTGAGCGCGTTGATTTTAATCAAGTAAGCATTAAAAAGCGCGCGTAAGTGTTATTCGTAACAAGCTGACAAGAATTGGTAAGATTTCTAGACTTTTTAAACGTTTGATTGAAGTTCAGTTGATATTTGAAGGGAAAGAAGTGCTATTTTTATACTTATGTAATATATTTATTAACTGTCATTGTATGGATTGAATTACATCGGACAATGTAACATATTTTCGCGGCGTCTATTGTGGACAATAATTGTCCACTTGGGCGTCAGAACCTCTTCTACTGTTTGATCCGCCCAGTAAACTGTAAATAAAAACTTTAAACATTTTATCACAAATGAGGCATCAGTCATTTAACTTGTTTTGAATATTTAGATTAATATATATGATACTGTTTTATTTCAGCACCAGTGATAATTGATAATGAAGATTTATTTTTGTGGAAGCATTCGAGCAGGAAGGCAAGATGCTGAATTATATGCTAGACTTATTAATCAACTTAGAGCCTATGGTACTGTGTTGACAGAGCATGTTGGTTCAAAGGAACTGGAGGAATGTATGTTTAGCTTTAAACCGATGTTAATTGTTTAAGATAGCATTAAATTTTATTTTATTTTAGTCGTTTACCTCATAAGCATTGGGTTTGAAAATTGAACTGAAAGATCCAGTATAATTTATTTCATCATGCTACAACCATTTAAAGGTAAAAAAAATCTTTCTTCTGTTTAACATTTTATTGAAGGAACGAAAAAGGCTTTAGTATAATAACAAACTGAACAAGGATTCATGTTTTATTAAGTTTGAACAAATTTCTTTGCAGCTGAGAAAACAAGGACAGATAAATATATACATGATAGAGATGTTGACTGGCTTGTAGAGAGTGATGGTAAATACAATGAATACTAAATAAATTATACTTTGAAAATAATTTTATATGAGCAATAGGCTATGTCTCTTTACAATTTCAAAGTGTTTGATTTGGCCTACAGGTTATAAAACTTTTGTCTGATTTTTTACTTGAAGCTCAGGATTTTCATTGGTCAATACGCATTCTGTGCTAGTTTCAACCAATCAAATGTTTGAGTGAAGTATAATTCTTCGCATTCATCACTGCAAAATTGAAGTCGTGCATTTTTGACTAATTTTTTACAAGAAATTGCTGAAGTTCCCATTTCCATTGGTATGAGTCATGTTCCCAAAATCCTGGGGAAAAGAACCTGCTGATACTTCTAATGATATCTCAACATTTATTAAACTTGGATGATTACTTAATACTGAAATGTAACCTGCATGTGTCTATTTTTTTCAGCTGTGGTTGCCGAGGTAACACAGCCATCACTTGGGGTTGGTTATGAGATTGGTAGAGCTGTTGCAATGAATAAAAAGATACTGTGTTTGTTTAGACCATCTCCAGATAAACGTATGTATAAATTTACTAACATTTATTAGTGATTTTTAGCTCCATAATACTTTTAAATGAGGCAGATCAGTTGTTGTGACCATTTTGGTTAATTTTTAGCTCATCTGTCACAAAGTGACAGGGTGAGCTTTTGTGATCGCTTTTCGTCCGGCGTCCGTCCGTCCGGCGTCCGGCCGTAAACTTTTACTTTAAATGACATCTCCTCATAAACCACTAAGCCAATTTCATCCAAACTTCACAGGAATGTTCCATTGGTGGTCACCTTTAAAAATTGTTCAAAGAATTTAATTCCATGCAGAACTCTTGTTGCCATGGCAACCGAAAGAAAAAACTTTAAATATCTTCTTTTAAAAAACCATAAGAGCTAGAGCTTAGATATTTGGCATGAAACATCTTCTAGTGAGTGTCTACCAAGTTTGTTCAAATAAAAGCCCTGGGGTCAAAATTGGCCCCGCCCCAGGGGGTCATTGATTTTCCCTATATGCATATAGTAAAAACTTAAAAAATCTTCTTTTAAAGAACCCAAAGAGCTAGAGCTAAGATATTTAGCATGAAACATGTTCTAATGGGTGTCTACCAAGTTTGTTCAAATAAAAGCCCTGGGGTCAAAATTGGCCCTGCCAGGGGGGGGGGTCTTGATTTTCCCTTTATGCATATAGTAAAAACTTAAAAAATCTTCTTTTAAAGAACTCAAAGAGCTATGGCTAAGATATTGAGCATCAAACATGTTGTAATAGGTGTCTACCAAGTTTGTTCAAATAAAAGCCCTGGGGTCAAAATTGGCCCCGCCCCAGGGGGTCATTGATTTTCCCTATATGCATATAGTAAAAGCTTAAAAAATCTTCTTTTAAAGAACCCAAAGAGCTAGAGCTAAGATATTTAGCATGAAACATGTTCTAATGGGTGTCTACCAAGTTTGTTCAAATAAAAGCCCTGGGGTCAAAATTGGCCCTGCCTAGGGGGTCATTGATTTTCCCTTTATGCATGTAGTAAAAACTTAAAAAATCTTCTTTTAAAGAACTCAAAGAGCCCTGGCTAAGATATTTAGCATCAATCATGTTCTAATGGGTGTCTACCAAGTTTGTTCAAATAAAAGCCCTGTGGTCAAAATTGGCACCGCCCCGGGCACTTACGAACTTTCGCTATACGTGTATGCAGTATTTCGATAGAGCGGAAATCAGTGCGCGAGCATGCGCTTTGCCATATCTCGTTCAGTTACCGCTCACGTTTTAAACTCGGTTGCTATGAAGCGACACTAAGCGTACATGGCTTTTACAACTAAAATATCAGACAAACACATTAAAACAATACACAAAAACTACACATAGTTGTTTTCTATATTAATAACTGATAGTCAAACAAATACCTCAATATGCTTACCGATTTAATGTATTGTTTACATGTGATGACAGCAACGCTGTGTGTAAGATTACTTTCGGTTCAGAAAATTCATTTGTTTACCATCAAAACTCATATGTTTACCATAGGAACCATATATAGATAGAAAGCAAATTAAAAAAAGGTAAAGAAAAAATTGTCCGTTTCTGAACAAAAAATCGAATAAATAAATACAAAGTATTTTTAAAAGGTCCCTTCTTTAAGTTCATTTGAAAGGGGAATAATTTGGTTGGATTTTAGACAGGGAAACATGGAGTTATCTTTCATAGCTAGGGAATATGGCCGACTGAAATCATGCAAGCAAGTTTGTAAGTGCCGGGGGCCATTGATTTTCCTTATATGTGTATAGCAAAAACTTAAAAAATCTTCTTTGAAAAAACCCAAATAGCTAGAGTTTAGATATTAAGCATGAAACATCTTTTAGTGAGTGTCTACAAAGTTTGTTCAAATAAAAGCCCTAGGGTCAAAACTGGCCCCGCCCCAGGGGTGTCATTGTTTTTAACTATATGTGTATAGTAAAAACTTTAAAAAATCTTCTTTTAAAAAGCCCAATGAGCTAGAGCTTAGATGTTTAGCATGAAACATCTTCTAATGGGTGTCTACCAAGTTTGTGCAAATAAAAGCCCTTGGGTTAAAATTGGCCCTGCAACGTTTGGGGGGGGGGGGGCTATATACAGGTGAGCGCCCTCAGGGCCATCATGGCCCTCTTGTTTACTCTTGTGCCCACAAGGAACTCAAGGTGAGCTTTTATGATGGCAATGTGTCCTTCAGTTGATTTCCACAAAATCTGCAGACAGTATCTCGTCTTCAACCACTTTGTGGATTTTGACCAAACTTCACAGGTGACCTTTAAAAGTTATGTATATGGTTCTAGTCTGATTGCAAAAATAGGTGATAGGTGTTTAAAATAGACTTTAAAAAACATACTAAAATGCTTACGTCCGTCCTATAGCATCATTTGTGGTCTTCTATCAGGCTTCGCGAAAGTTGCCGGACCGTCGGACATGTCCGGCAAAAATCAGGTCTGTCCGATATTTTTTTTCCTAGTTCCGGACCTTATGTCCGGTACGAATACCGGGATAGATCCAAGACCGATCAAGACCAAGTTTTCTCCCTTGAATAAAAAAATGTGAAACGAGTTTTGATTCGCCGTTTCATTATAAGTGTCCAATCAAATTCTAGATACATACGACCACAGGCAATCGGTGCGTGGCTTGGATAGTAGCTATAAAACTATTGCTTACCGGTCCAAAGTTAATCAAAAACGTCTATAGGTACACACTTTCAGTAGTTATTTGCACTAACTTTTTAAATTTCCCGACATTGTACATGTATACAAATCCTGATCCGGATATTCAAAGTACGCATGCTCGGTTCCCGCTGGTACCCAGCTTCGCTCAATCTTTATTATGCGAAAAGGGGTACGCATCAGGTACATCCGGGTCAGCATTTGTATACATGTAATGTCAGGAAATTAAAAAAAGTTAGTGCAAATAATTACTGAAATGCCTACCTACAGACGTTTTGGATTAAATTTGGAGGGGTAAGCGATAGTATTATAGCTGTCTTTTCTGTTTCAACTGTTTGCATGCACTGACATTAGTTTGTTATTAAGAAAAAGATCGATTTATTTTCAAAATCGTCTACTTTCAGTTCGGTCAAGCGATGGCCGACCTAGACAAAAAGTGCATTTTCGCTTTAAAATTCCATCTTTTGTCATACCAACTTGTCTAATATTGCACATCATTTCTGCGTAGATTGCACTTTATTTGGTGAAAATTGGTTGACAATTTACAAAGATCTGGGAGGTAACATAAGGCCTGGTGGTAGGTCCACTTGCGAACCTTCATACCTTTACTATATTTATAGTATATATGGATGACATTTTTAAAAACAAATTTCCTTTGTTGATTATTTGAAAATAAGATATTTTAAAAACATTTTGAATGAAAAAATATTTTATTAGTGAAAAAAATATATTTACAAAAATAAGTGGGCGTGTTCATGTACATGTATACTATCCAAGCCACGCACCGATTGCCTGTGCATACGACTTTCAATGAACTTGTACTCGGAAGAAAATGTCGGTGTTACTGCATTATTGCTATGGCGCTACCCCAGGAAAAAAAAACGTAAATTATCTAATGAAGAAAAAAAAGCGAAACAAAAGGCTATGTCTTTAAAAAAAACACAAAGGTATTACCATATACTTATATTTGGAAAAAAATTCGGTCAGACTAAAGTTCTTTCGGTCAGACAAGAATTGAAAGTTTGTCTGACCGAATGTCAGGCAAATTTTTCAGCAGTTTCGCGAAGCCTGTTCTATAAAAGATATTTTCATGCCCCTTGGGTCAAAATTGGCCCTAACTTGTGGGTCATAAGTTTATATAAACTTATTTAGGAAAATAGATTAAAGTCTTCTTTTGTGAAAGTACAATGCCCAAAGCTCTGACTTTTCGCCTTTAGTATTGCCTTGTACATTTTACTTGATAACTATCTTACAAAAAAATAAACAATAGATAAATAACAATGCCTAGAGATACGATATTTGATATTAAACGTCTCCTAGTGGTCATTTGTAAAATATACATATATATATGGTCATGCCCTTTGGGTCAAAATTTGCCCTGCCTTAGAGTCACTTACATTTTGTAATTTACGAAGATTTATATAGTAAACATCTTTAAATTCTTCTTGTAATCTACACTGCCCAGAGCATGAATATTTAGCATGAAATGGTACCTTGTGGTCTTCACCTGTCGCACCTTTTTTCAAATCATGTAAGTACAAAAATTATAGATGTGCCCATGTGGAGTGTGAAAACATTCCAGGCTGGTAATATCACCAATTTTTAGCTCGACTATTCGATAAGAATAAGTAGAGCTATTGCAGTCACCCGAGCGTCGGCGTCGGCGTAACCACTTATGTTAAAGTTTTTGTAATAGTTCAAATATTTTCAAAGTCCATTGACATATGGCTTTGAAACTTTGCACACTTGTTCACCATCATGACCCCAACCTGTAGACAGGAGGAGGTAACTCTATCAAGCATTTTGACAGAATTATGCCCCTTTTTCGACTTAGAATTTACGTTAAAGTTTTTGTAATAGTTCAAATATTTTCAAAGTCCATTGACATATGGCTTTGAAACTTTGCACACTTGTTCAACATCATGACCCCAACCTGTAAACAGGAGGAGGTAACTCTATCAAGCATTTTGACAGAATTATGCCCCTTTTTCGACTTAGAATTTACGTTAAAGTTTTTGTAATAGTTCAAATATTTTCAAAGTCCATTGACATATGGCTTTGAAACTTTGCACACTTGTTCACCATCATGACCCCAACCTGTAGACAGGAGGAGGTAACTCTATCAAGCATTTTGACAGAATTATGCCCCTTTTTCGACTTAGAATTTCCGTTAAAGTTTTTGTAATAGTTCAAATATTTTCAAAGTCCATAGACATATGGCTTTGAAACTTTGCACACTTGTTCACCATCATGACCCCAACCTGTAGACAGCAGGAGGTAACTCTATCAAGCATTTTGACAGAATTATGCCCCTTTTTCGACTTAGAATTTACGTTAAAGTTTTTGTAATAGTTCAAATATTTTCAAAGTCCATTGACATATGGCTTTGAAACTTTGCACACTTGTTCAACATCATGACCCCAACCTGTAAACAGGAGGAGGTAACTCTATCAAGCATTTTGACAGAATTATGCCCCTTTTTCGACTTAGAATTTACGTTAAAGTTTTTGTAATAGTTCAAATATTTTCAAAGTCCATTGACATATGGCTTTGAAACTTTGCACACTTGTTCACCATCATGACCCCAACCTGTAAACAGGAGGAGGTAACTGTATCAGGCATTTTTTTTACTATCAAGCACTAAGAATAGTCGAGCATGCTGTCCTACCGACAGCTCTTGTTCGACTTAGAATTTACGTTAAAGTTTTTGTAATAGTTCAAATATTTTCAAAGTCCATTGACATATGGCTTTGAAACTTTGCACACTTGTTCACTATCATGACCCCAACCTGTAGACAGGAGGAGGTAACTCTATCAAGCATTTTGACAAAATTATGCCCCTTTTTCGACTTAGAATTTACGTTAAAGTTTTTGTAATAGTTCAAATATTTTCAAAGTCCATTGACATATGACTTTGAAACTTTGCACACTTGTTCACCATCATGACCCCAACCTGTAAACAGGAGGAGGTAACTGTATCAAGCATTTTGACAGAATTTTAAAGCACCTTTTTCGACTTAGAATTTACGTTAAAGTTTTTGTAATAGTTCAAAAATTTTCAAAGTCCATTGACATATGGCTTTGAAACTTTGCACACTTGTTCACCATCATTATCCCAACCTATAAATAGGAGGAGGTAACTGTATCAAGCATTTTGACAGAATTATGCCCCTTTTTTGACTTAGAATTTACGTTAAAGTTTTTGTAATAGTTCAAATATTTTCAAAGTCCATTGACATATGGCTTTGAATCTATACACTTGTTTACCATCATGACCCCAACCTGTAAACAGGAGGAGATAACTGTATCAAGCATTTTCTTTTACTATCAAGCGCTATGAATAGTCGAGCGTTGCTGTCCTACCGACAGCTCTTGTTTTTCATAGAATCATTGCAATACCAGTCTCTGAGTTTTGACACAGCAAATACATGTAACTATGGTACCTATAATATTGTTGCATGTGTGTTGAATGCCTTGTAAATAACTTTACAAAAATAAATTGTTGTTAATATATAAATATTATGTTGCAATAATGTCTTTTCATTGTAAACTGTTTGTTAATGGGAAGTAACTGACTGCATACACTTTGTATAATTATTACTTCCCTTAGATATAGCAAAAAGATGAAAAAATATAAAATTAAGCTATTGGTCAAAGAGAGGAAAATGAGTGCAAATCATGACTTGGTTTATTTACATTAAAAAATATCTGACAATTGAGTGAAATAGTTGTATATTTTTATATTGCAGGTTTATCAGCAATGATAGCTGGTGCAGATAATGGGAGCACATTTATTGTAAAGAATTACCAAGAAACAGATGCTAGTGATATATTCAAGAACTTTTTCTCCTGAACTAAATCTATAGCTGGTCTCTAGAGTTTTTAACTAGACTGATGGTACAAGTGTTTTATATAACTTAATAAAATGACAGAAAATAATTCTTGAAAAAATGTGAAATAAAATTTATTATCCTGCATAGAACATTAGAAACAAAATACCAGATAGAGGCGGTTTGGTGATGTTACAGCTTATATTGATGATAATTACTCCAGCATATAACAAAAATATTTGCCCATTTTTTCACTTCTTTCAACATCTTTAAATAGCAAAAAAAAAAAAAAAATATTAGATTATAGGTGAACTGACCATTTCTAATTACATAAACGGTTGATCAATGTAACTGCAAGTTGTGTGTTATTTGCACAGTGAAGGATTTATAAAGTCGACTTTTTTTCCAGTTTCACAGTGCATGTGTCTTGCATTTACTGTTAGCCCTTATCATGCTAAACCACAGACTCGAACTCAGTGATAGCCTTTGCTATCAGTGTTGAGTCAGGCCAGCTTGCACATCCTGGCTCTGTACTGTTGGTACTGTAGCTCAATTTTGGTATATTAGAATTGAAATCTCTTCACTTTCTTCTGTATTAAATACATGTAATTCGTTTTACCAGTTAGGAGTAAGATAATTAAAAATGTCGGATATTTTTGGTTTGAAATGAAAAAAATAAATTAAATATTTAATATACTTAGATGTAAAATTATGAAAAGAAAATTCAATTGTAAATAAAATTGAATTTTAATTGTTAAGACCAATATGAAATGTAAAGAGTTTTGTTAAGTATGATATATAAAAATGATAACTTCAAATATTGTTGTTTTTTTTCTGATTATTCAATGTAACAGTATGCAAACACTGTTAACCAATGTAAATATGCTAACCTGGGGTATCAATGGGTCTTGTCCATGTTGCTGACTGAATCATTTACCACTAACTTGTTAGATTCAAACCCAGCGGGAACTTGGAAAAAATATGTCTACCTTGCTTACAGAAGGTGTGTTCTGTGGTGCATGAAAGGGGCACCTAAAGTATTTCTAATGTTTAACTAAAAAATGCCATATGACATACGTGTATTACACGGTCAGTAATATGCCTTTCTTCCTTACAGAACAGCTTTTTTTATGCCTCCTAACCACATTAACTTGGAATCCTCTATAAAACTATATAAAAAGTGCTAGTCTGATGCACAAATAACTTGCATGAGCTTAATGCATGTAAGAACTGCAATATCTACGTACATACATGTATATTTGGTAGCTGTTACTGTGTCAACAGGTATTTAGAACTATGAAAGTTTGCTCCAACATATTGTGAGGAAAAAATATGGCATGGAGTTTAATTTTTTTGAATAAAGCAATGTCTATTCATGGTCTTTCAAATAGAATAGCCATCTTAAAGCCTCACAGACGGTGGGATTTTGATGTACAAAGCCAATTAAAACTGATGTGCCAGCAAATACTAATGTGTGAAGGCTAATATTTCTTGAATCTGTACATCTTAATACTATAAATTTACAGGAGCCTAGCGGCTCGGGTTATATTTACAAATAGCCGTTTATATAGGGCCATATAACCTGTCAACAATCTTTAAAACTAATAATATAAACGTCATGATTATCCAAAGCGACGTTACAATCGTGCAGTATTATTAAGATTTTTTTTATAATACTCGTACTGCACGTTTGTAACGTCATTTTTCATTGGATAATCGTGACGTTTATGTACAGTTTTATTATACACGGCTGCTATCGCTCCATGAATACACCTTACTTTTTTCTCTAAAAATGATGCTTGCTGTATTATAAATTCGTTATAATTTAAAGATTGTTGACAGGTTATATGGCCATATATAAACGAGGCTGCAAAATATTTTGAGCAAATTTAAATTAATAGTTGCGCAATAATATATAGAGGATATTTGTTTAGTTCAGTGTAAGGTCGGAATTTATTATAAACTTATAAATGAAATATTGAGAAATATTAATAAAATAAAATGCGTATTTTCATTTTCCGTATTTTCACTGTAAAAAAAATTATTATTCACTGCAGTGAAACATATTTTCCGTATTTTCACTGGTGTCTTGTCGGACTACTTTCTATTAAATTCTGCCCATACGCAAAATTTAAGGGAAATTCTTTCAAATTTTAATTAATGTCAAAAAAGAGAAATGTATAATAATAAACAGAAAATTCAAGTTTTTTCTATAAATACATGATTTATTTTCATCTTGTGGCATGAAAATGATCATATTTCACTCGTGGCTATTGCCACTCGTGAAATATTTATTTTCATACCACTCGATGAAAATAAATCATGTATTTATAGAAAAAACTTGAATATCCTCTATATATTTCACCGAGTGAGCACCAAAAGGTATATTTCACGAGTGGCGCAGCCACGAGTGAAATATGAACTTTTGGTGTTCACAAGGTGAAATATATTTCGATTTTACACTAAACTAATCAAATTTTCTTTTTATTATTTGCAAAGAAACGTTTTAAAAAGACATTAACCCTAATTCTGAATGAAAAGCGCGCCAAATAATAATACAACGTGACGTCATTTACAACGTCACGTCATTAAGTTGGTACCCTGTACTGTGCACGCTGGTATTTCAATGAAACAACGTAAGGGGCTTAAATTCAAAACAGTGAAATTATCAAAGTGGTAATTTCACTGTTTCAAACAGTGAAATTACCAGTTTTATATCACTGATATATTTCTATAAGCCACCGAAAAGCATGTAATAAAGATAGATAGATAGATTTATTTCGGCAAAGGAAGCATATACATAGTTGACAATATAACATAGGATAAACTAATGAGCATTATTAAATACTATATCACATATAGCTATCACTGCGAAAAATATACTGATATACGGGAATATACGGTCCCGTATTTTTGACATATACGGGCGTGTACGGGATGTATTCGTCGAATATACGGACCAAGTATACGAGTCCGTATAGGGAACACCGGGTATACGGGAAGTCCGTATATGCATCAGCATATACGGAATTCCGTATTTGCCCCATATACATGTACGTAATATTTGTTCGTACTTTTTAAGTATACGGAGAATAAAATCCCGTATACGGACTATATTAAGGTTGTTATCCCTAGTATTTCTATAAATATTTACCAAGGATATACGGGGAACCGTATATTTTCTACATATACAGAGGATATTACGGACTCGTATTTTTCTTACGTATACAGGAGGATATACGGAACCGTATATTCTACATATACAGAGGATATACGGGACTCGTATTTTTCCACATATACAGATGATATACGGAATCGTATTTCTACATATACAGAAAATATACGGATTCGTATTTTCTACATATACAGGGGATATACGGAATCGTATTTTCAATATATACAGGGGAATATTACGGAATTGCATTTTTTTAGTTGTCCACAGGAATACAGAAAA